AAGAAATCACATGCTCTCTATATTTCAAAGTTCAAAACAGTTCAATTTAATTATATAGAAATTTTTAATTAAATTTAATTATATAAAAAATTATATATTATAGTTATTTTTATTGATTATTATATTTCACATGTACTTATGTTTTTATGTGTATATAGTATTTTCTTTAATGTATTTAATGTTCTCATCTAGGTTTTTTTTTTTTTTTTGTCTGCCCATCTAAGTATTAAATGGTTCAAAATAAAAGCATATAAAGGTATGATGTACGAAAAATAAAGATTTAATATCTAATCATTTGTATATTTGTGTACTTTTAAATTTTTTTAAATAAAATTCATTTTTATATTATTAATTGATTATAGGTAACACGGCTAAAATGCGGTGGTTTCATCTTTGCCATCCGCTTCAACCACGTCATGAGCGACGCCGCTGGCCTAAAACAATTCATGTCCACCATGGGCGAAATGGCACGTGGCTTGGTTACAACCTCGATCCCACCCGTATGGGAAAGACACCTCCTAGATGCTCGAGACCCACCACGAGTCACTTTCACACACCACGAGTACGACGAAGTGGAAGCCAACATTAGCACCCAGTTACCGGACAACCTGGTCCAACGTTCGTTTTTTTTCGGCTCCTATGAAGTTCAAGCTCTTCGAAAGCTGCTCCCACGCCACCTTCGCCAATGCTCCAAGTTCGAACTGTTAACAGCTTGCTTATGGCTTTGTCGAACCATTGCTATAAATCCTGACCCTGACGAAGAGGTGCGCATGCTATGCTTTGCTAACACACGTTCCAAATTTGATCCTCCATTGCCATTGGGATATTATGGTAATGCCATCGTGTTCCCAGCAGCAATAACAACAGCTAGAAAACTTTGCCAGAATCCATTGGGGCATGCAGTGGAACTAGTGAAGCAAGCCAAGGCAAGCGTGACGGAGGAATATGTGAAATCAGTCGCTATTTTGATGGTGATTAGGGGTAAACGGCTGCACTTCCCAGCAGTGATTGGTTCCTACTTGATATCAGATGTAACAAAATTTGGATTCGAAGACGTCGATTTCGGGTGGGGTAAGGCAGTGTTTGGAGGACCAGCAAAAGGTCTTGGAGTGATAAGCTTTTTCATACGAGCCAAGTATATGAAAGGCGAAGTTGGAACTTTGGTGCCGATTTGTTTGCCAGCTCCGGTCATGGAAAGATTTGCTAAGGAATTGGACAACATGTTGAAGGGTAAATCATTTTTTATTTCATCTGCTATGTGAAAGAAATAGAAATGTGACATGAAGAGAGAATGTGTGGTATCATGATACTCTTCTTTAAATTGCAAGGCTCTTGCCCAGTATATGTTTCTTCCCCAATATGTTGTAGCTAATAACCACTTCATGATAAATATAAACGAGGAACAATTAATTTAATGATTTCAGAAGAACTAAAACAACTTTATGCATGAATTAATGCTTAAGGTTGTTGATTAGCAATTTGAGATTAATTATGTAGCATAATATTGCATTTGAAAACTCAAATTCGGATTTGAATTTTTTCTTTAGATATTATTTCAATTTAAAATACAAGAACTTGGAATTTTATATTCCAAAAAAATTAAGATTAGAAGTTTCAATTTTTTTTTTAAAAGAAGTTTCATATTACTAGTTAAAACATTATTATTATAGTAAAATAACTTTTAATATGCGTCAAATAGTATATGCATAGAAGAATCGATATATAAGCAAATATCAATTAAATAAACAAATGATCAACATTAAGTTGGAATAAACTCGCATATTAACATGACTTGGACGCGAGACGTAAAGGTTTCAAAGCCTTCTCGTTACTATTGAGAAGATTACTTGGGCACGAAAGGGCTGAATTTAGTGCAGCAGATCTAGAAGTAGTGGGAATTATACTGAAGCAATGGAATAAGGGAGAAGAAGTAGTCTTTGATGTAGTAGAAGAAGATTTAACATCTGAAAATGAAAAATGTAATTCACTAAACACTGCATGTTGAGATATGTAGCATTTTCCCTGAAGCAATATAAAGATACTTAAATCCTCTATGATTTGGACTATAACCAAGAAAGACATATTCTAATGATCTAGATTGTAGTTTGTTAGAATTATGCAGCCAAATTCATGTTTTACATTACTTTTTTAAGAAAAAAAATTTATCATTTATAAATATTATAATACAATTAATAAGTAACAATTTAACATTATTTCGAGTCCACATATATATATGGTGAATTTTTACATAATTTTTTATTATGATTAATTAATGTGTTTATGAATCTTAAAGATAAAAAATTATTCCTTCTGTCTCTTTTTTTTTTTTTTTTGTCTATCCTTTTTTTTTTAGGATATTTCAAATTTATGTCTTTTTTTTAAATCTAAAATTTTTACTTTTTATATTTTATGATCTTTTTTTACTTTTTGACATTAAAAATTATGAAAATTTAATTCTATAAAAAAATTTAATTTTAATATTAAATACATTAAATTAAGTCAAAAATTTTTCTGAAACTCCATAAAAATCAATACCTTCCAAACAAATTGAGACAGGAGCAAAAAATTAAAAAAAAAAATATTTGAATGCTTTTAAAAAAAAAATTTTGGAAACTTTTTCATCAATAAAATTGATAAATTTATCCATAATTTTTTATTTACATTATAAATATATACCCTTAAAAATATTTTAAATATGCCGCCATACTTTCATTAGGTCAAATATGATCTATCTTGATAGCCTCAAATTAGATTGGTAGTTCTAGATGAAGTTAGACTCAATTGATAGAGTTTTTTTTAATTATTTTTTAAAAATATGATGAAAGGATAGTTGGACCAGTGCAAATTTGGCAATAAGGCTACTAGAAGTGGCAGTTCAGGAGAATAAAAAAAAAATTAAGGGTATAGTAGTAATTGAAGTTAAACCATTGGGGTGTTCTAAATACACCACAAAATCTTCTTTATACACCTTCAAAAAAATTTTCCAAAAATATCCACATAACAAATACTAATTTTAACTTTTAATAAATGATAAAAATACCCTTAATAGCTTATACACATCAAGACCATTTTCGTATATCTCAAAAATGAATATATGAGATTTATACTATGTTTTCGATAATTCATTTTCTAGAACAAAATATAATTTTTGAAAATCTTTTTCTAAAAATAAAATATAACTTTCGAAAATCTATTTCTAAAAATTATAATGTATTCTCATAAATGAACTTATGTTAGTAATCATGTACTCTTGAAAATTCATTTTCGAGAATACATAAATTTTTGTTTGTATATATATTTAATTATAAACTCTAATGATTTCTCTTCGGTGTAATTCCGATAATAGAGACCACTAATCTCTAGGCCACCAGCATCCTAATGACCAAAATATTAGAGACCTTTATTATTGGATTTGTCAGTCAACTAATAACATTATTAGAATAGGATGTTCGAGCTCGGGCTAGCATGTATGCATACACATAAGTCATTGATGTGCCCATTCTTACTCGATCATATGTGCAAATGGAAGATACAAAGTTCTTAAGCATGCATGAAATAAAAAAGCTTTGTCCTAAGCCCAAAAAACCAGAAAACGATTTCAATTTATTTCATGCATGTTGAAAACATTGATTTCAATTTCATTTGCACACATAATCAAGAAAATGGATTAATAAAGGCATGATTAAGGTTTTTTAATGATTAAATGTAAAATCGAGCTTTTAGTAAATAAAAATCTGAGAAGTCTCAAATCCTTTTGGAAATGAATATCTAAGAAGATTTCAATTCCGAGAAAATTTGAAATTTTTTGAAAATGAATATCTGAAAATTCTTAAAGTTTTTTGCATATCTATTTTTAAAATGTTCAATTTCAGAATGTGAATAAAGAAGAAAAGAGAAAGGGTAGGAATGAAAAATAAAAAGTCAAAGGGGGGTGTATTTAGTATTAATAAGAAAATGGGTTTTCAAATTTTGATATATTTAGAATCCGGTTGTATTTTACATTTAATGGGGTGTAAATAGAATTCTTCTAAACCATTTCCTTCCTATTAAAATTTTTTTGTATGGTTACAAATTGTAATACTGTGAATCCATTATTTTGTTTTGTAAAGATTTCTCAAAAATAAATATCCGAGAATATTTAAATATTCTCAAAAATAAATATCCAAAAAACTTTGAAATTTTTTGGATATCCATTTTTGAGAAATTTGATTTTAGAAAGCGAATAAAAAAGAGAAAAAAAGTAGAAACAGAAAATTAAAAATTAAAAATTGGGTGTATTTAATATAAATAGAAAAATGAGTTTTGAAATTAGAGTGAATTTAGAATTGAGGTGTATAGCATTTAATGGGTGTAAATAGAGTTCCTCTAAACCATTTCCTTCTCATTAAAATTTTTTTGCATCGTTTCAAACTGTAAATACTGTGAATCCATTATCCTAGTTTGTAATTCCTTTGTGATTTACCACATGGTCCTGCACATGTTGGCGGAGATGTTGATGAGAAAGGTTTGGGAAATTCGTTATTTGATAAAAAACAAGAAATCAGACTACTGCTCATACGAGAGTTCCCAAAATAAGTATAAATCGTTCAACTGTACATTCGTTTTAAATTCTTCCCGCAGTCCAGCTTATCGTTTAGTATGTTTTGTTACTATCTTCTAGATGATAAATGAAGTAGAAGAAGCGAATATGATAGTGGGTATGATAGTTTCATGGAGAAACTTTTAGCTGAAGAGGAAGTATGGCAGCCAAAGCAGAGCAACAAGCAAAGAACGAGAAGATTAAGCACCGAAAGAGGTCAAGGTTCACCGTACAATCACATGATCTATTGAAAATGTTAAACTCTTAATTTTAGTAATACAGCCTCAAGTATTATTTCAAAAAAAAAAAAAAAACAGGTCAAAGGTCCTTTGAGGGCTAAGGTAAAGGCAGTTTGCAAGTAGGCAAGATCGGACTATGGTAAAGGGTCCTGATTTAGTCGCATACTTTAACAATCAAACTATCCAGTCCTGGAGTCAGAAGATCGGCTTATAAATTTAAATAAGAGACACATAGAGAAAGCAATGCAAGTGAGTTCTGGTTTGGTGGTGGGTTCTCACAACTTGAACGAGCTCATAGTTATAAGTCGCGATGGGGACTCTTCTGTAAGTTGTGTGCGTATACATATGAAACACACTTGCACCTTTTCTCTTTTTTTTTTTTTATGCTTTTGAATTATAAGTCACATGAAAAAGTAAGAGCGAATGGTGTTGCAGAGAAAAGGGTGGGAACATTTAAGCGGTCAAACATGTCACATATGCGGAGATGAGGTAGGACTGACAGACGAGGGAGAGCTGTTCGTGGCCTGCAATGAGTGTGCCTTCCCCATTTGTCGTGCTTGCTATGAATACGAGCGCAGGGAAGGGAATCCAGTGTGCCCTCAATGCAAGACCAGATTCAAACGTCTCAAAGGTCATTAACTAGTCGGTTTTTCTTCTGTTTAATTTATACTATTTTAGTGTTAATGCACAGTGCTCAGTACTTGTTTTGTTCAGGCTGTGCTAGAGTGGAGGGGGATGATGAAGAAGATGACATTGATGACTTGGAGAATGAGTTCAATTTCGAGGGAAGGAGCTGCGGGCAGGATGGGCACCATGCTTTGGCTGCCAATGCAATCAGCAATCTCTCTGGCTTGCCTCATGTTGTTCGCACTGATCCCCAACTTCCCCTTCTCAGTAATGGTCAAAAGGTATTTACCCAATAGACTAAAATTTCTGTTTACTACATCAAAGTTCATGATCATCTGGAATAAATGACGCTAGGAAGTCTTATCCATTTATTGTTGATTTTTTGTTGCGTCCTTAAACTTTTGCGCTTCCCCACATTGTGAATCCCTCCAAGGATTTAGCTGCTTATGGCTATGGAAGTGTTGCTTGGAAGGAGAGGATGGAGGCTTGGAAGCAAAGAGAAGAACAATTACAAATGACGAAGTCTGGTAATGGTGGCGAAGATCCGTACTCTGAAGGCCTTGATTTACCATTGTAAGCCTCCTAGTAGACTCTTTTATTTAATTTCTTTTTAGGGTTTTTTGTAATAACTCAGATATAATTTCAGCACAATTTTCTTTCCATATTTGCTCCTAAAAAACAGGCAAGCATTGATGTTATGATGCTTGAAACCATTATTATTTTCTTCCCAAAATAATTCGTGAATTATGAAATTCAATTTAGTAGTCATGTGATGGTTAATACAATCCCTCTTAAGCTCCCACATCTACCATGGACATAAAAGACTGTTTTACCTTTATTATTATAATTTTTTTGATGAATCTTTTTATTTATAACATTTCAAGGGTCTTTTTATTTACAAACATTAAAATTGACATTGTAGCCCAATGAATATTAGGACTGTTCACGTGATAACAGTGTAAAAAATCTTTTTTAAAATTTTCGAAAACATTATAAAAACACACTAAGCAAACATATAATTACTATAGTTCTCAAAAAAATTAGACAAAAGCATAAAACACAAACAAAAACAAAAACAAACCCAAATACATCCTAGATGTTTTTTATTTATCCAAAAGCTGGAAGGAACTTGTTATATAAGAAAAACGCATTCGGTATTAATAGTGCTCAACTTCCTTCTTTTTTTTTTTTTTTTAATTTGAAGTTGTCAGGATTTAAACTTTAATTGTTGAAATTAAAGGTTTAACACTTTAGCATCAATCAATTAGTGGCTGTTGGCAAATAATTTACATGCTTTACTTCATGTTTGATTACAAATAATTTCTTGGCTAATTGAATACTTGCTGCCTGTTGATCAGAATGGACGAGGCTAGACAACCATTGTCAAGAAAGTTGCCCATTCCATCAAGCCAAATCAACCCTTACCGGATAATCATCATAATTCGACTTGTAGTTCTTGGATTTTTCTTTCACTATCGAGTCATGCACCCGGTGAATGATGACTATGCTTTCTGGCTTGTATCAGTCATTTGTGAATTCTGCTTTGCTCTTTCATGGATTCTTGATCAATTCCCAAAATGGCTTCCAATTGACCGGGAAACTTATCTGGATAGATTATCCTTAAGGTAAGTTTTCTATAAAGTGTTCATATATACTCATGAAATAGTTCTTAAAGTCTAGATTTTGAACTTGGGGCTTAGGCGAAATTGTTTACCACCTTTCTTAGGAAGTAGTTTCCAGCAAGGTTGGCTTCGATCCCTGGCACTTACAAAATCCCCTTCCTCAATTCCTCTTAGCCCTTGGCCTCCCATATACAAAAAAGGTCTAGATTTTGACTACTGCTCTTTTTTTTTTCTTTTTCAGGTATGAGAAGGAGGGGGAACCTTCTCAACTTGCTCATGTTGACATATTTGTAAGTACAGTTGATCCATTAAAAGAATCCCCACTGGTGACTGCAAACACTGTTCTTTCTATTCTTGCAGTGGATTACCCTGTTGATAAGGTCTCATGTTATGTTTCTGATGATGGTGCTGCTATGCTAACATTTGAGGTACTGTCAGAAACTTCTGAATTTGCGAGGAAATGGGTCCCCTTTTGTAAGAAGTATAATGTTGAACCACCGGCACCTGAGTGGTATTTTTCTCAAACGATAGACTATTTCAACGATAAGTTGTTGCAGTCATTTGTGAAGGAAAGGAGAGCATTGAAGGTAACAACACTTCCAACGTCATTGAATTTTATTCTATTATTTATGGCTGATCACATGGCAACCCCAATGCCAATTGTAACTGTAGAGAGAGTATAACGAGTTCAAAATTCGGATCAATGCTTTGGTTGCCAAGGCTCAAAAGGCTCCAGTAGAAGGGTGGGTTATGCAGGATGGAACTCCTTGGCCTGGGAATAACATTCGTGATCATCCTGGAATGATTCAAGTATGTCTAGTGGATTGTCATTTTATATATGATTATCAATAACTTCTATTTGTGGTACATACAGGTTTTTCTTGGACAAAGTGGAAGACTTGACACTGATGGAAATGAACTGCCACGCTTGGTGTATGTTTCTAGAGAAAAGAGACCAAGGTTCAATAACCATAAAAAGGCTGGAGCAATGAATGCTTTGGTTAGAGTCTCTGCTGTGCTCACAAACGCACCATATCTGTTAAATTTGGATTGGGATCACTACATTAATAATAGTAAGGCTCTCAGAGAGGCAATGTGTTTCATGATGGATCCATTGCTAGGAAAGAGAATATGTTACGTCCAGTTCTCCCAGAGGTTTAATGGCATTGACAAGGGTGATCAAAATGCTAATAAGAGCACCGTATTTTTTGATGTAAGTATTTTTGTTTATCAAAATTTTGTTTTGTTCATCTTTGACCAAAATATAATGTGTGAATCCTCAATTTTAGATTAATATGAAAGGTTTGGATGGCATTCAAGGTCCTATATGTGTTGGTACTGGATGTGTATTTAGAAGACTAGCACTTTACGGCTATGATGCTCCAAAACCAAAGAAGCCATCTACAAGGACATGCAACTGTTGGAGTAAGTTGTGTTGTGGGTGCTTTTGCTTGAGGAAAAAGAAGAGGCTACCTTATAAACAACTAAAGACAAGAAATACTGAACAAGAAGATGGAGAAGCAGCCCCACTTATGTTTACTGCTATGGAGGGTATTGAAGAAGGTGTTGTATTGAATTTTTGTACTTTCTGATCTCTCCCATAAAACCATTCAAGTTTTCCAACAAATGAAATTATGTGAAGCATTGTTAGTATAGATGTAAAAGCTTTGAAAATGTGGAACCCTTGACTCAATTAGTTTATGCAATCACCTTTAAGAGGTGACATTAAGTAGGTCTGAAGTTCAAATCCAGTACTTGCATCTCATTCCCCTATTCCTGCAGCCTACTTTGTTAGAAAAAAAAAAAAAAAAAAAAACTCTGAAAATGCGGTAGTTGTGCATTTGGTTGACCTGGAATCCACCATGATCATTTGATTTGTGATGTCCTTATAAAACATTTAAGGATCTAACATATTTTTATGTCAGCTTGTAAGACTAATCAATATTTTACAAATCAATAACCTTAACTGTCCAGCAAGTTTGATTATCTTATCATCTAACTTCGGAGATCTTGAATACAGGAAAGGTAGGGGAAAATTTTGCCTTGTCTGAGCTGAAACTGGAAAAGAAATTTGGTCAGTCCCCTATTTTTATTGCCTCAACCTTGCTAGAGGATGGTGGAACATTGAAAGGTGCTAGTCCTGCCCCTGCATCTCTGCTTAGAGAAGCCATCCATGTTACCAGTTGTGGTTATGAAGAAAAAACAGAGTGGGGAAAAGAGGTAGCAACAATTTTTAGATTCTGCTATTGATATTTTGATATAATTTTTTCCCTTAAAAGATACTTATAATTCCTATTGAAATTTTGATATACCTTTTTCCCTCAAAAGATACTTATAATTCATGCAAATATTTGTTGTGATATAGGTTGGATGGATCTATGACTCAGTTACAGAGGAAATATTAGCAGGATTTAAAATGCACTGCCACGGGTGGCGATCCGTATATTGTATTCCTGCTAGGCCTGCATTTAAAGGATTTGCTCCCGTCAACCTTTCTGATCGTCTGCAACAGGTCCTCCGATGGGCCCTTGGATCTATTGAAATACTCTTCGCTAAGCATTGTCCTCTTTGGTATGGATATGGAGGTGGTCTAAAGTGGATGGAGCGTATTTCTTACATAAATGTCATTCTATATCCGTGGATCTCGATTCCTCTGGTTGCATATTGTACCGTTCCCGCTGTGTGTCTGCTAACAGGGAAATTCATCATTCCAGAGGTATAAAGCTTCTAACCAAAAATTAGCGAAAGAAAACCTTGCTTGTTATGTGGATTTTTTTTTTCTTTTTTTCTATTTTTGGTATTTGTAGCTGCCAAGAGTTATTGAGATTAAAAGTCCAACATTCGACGACTATTTTTTTTTTAATTTATCAATTTCTTTAAATTGTTGTTAGGACATCCTTGTGATGTGAACTTAATTATCTTCAATTGCCTATACATTTTGCAGCTTAGCGGTGCCGGTAGCTTTTGGTTCTTGTCACTTTTCCTTTGTATTTTTGCAACAAGCATCTTGGAAATGAAAAGGAGTGGAGTCAGTATTGATGAATGGTGGAGAAATGAACAATGGTGGGTGATTGGAGGGGTTTCAGCGCAGCTATTTGCTGTATTCCAAGGGCTTTTAAAGGTTATAACCGGCGTTGACACGAACTTCATCAAGACTCCAAAGGTAAGCGACGATGGAGAGTTCTCCCAGCCGTATGCATTAAAGTGGACAACTTTGCTCATCCCACCAACAACATTGCTTATAATAAACATGATAGGACTGGTTATCGGTATTGCAACTGCAATAAATTATGGTTATGATTCATGGGGACAATTTTTTGGAAAGTGTTTTTTTGCCATCTGGGTTATTATTCACTTGTATCCCTTCCTAAAGGGTTTGTTTGGGCGAGAGAACAGGACTCCCACGATTGTTATTGTCTGGTCAATTGTGTTGGCTTCTATCTTTTCTCTTGTGTGGGTTCATTTGGATCCATTCTTGCCCAAATCAGTTGGTCCGCCACTTGTGGAATGTGGGTTGGATTGTAACTAGCAGCACATCTGCTCCACCGGAACCCCAAAATTTGCTAGTTGAGGATATGTGGATTATGAAGGCAAAGTTTGCGTAGTGTAGCTTAAATATGTATTTTGGGACGATATCATCCCTTCCATTAGCCATTTCCTAACATCGAAATCAGAATAAGGGTGTTGAGCATAGTGATTTTTATTGGAGGTAACAGCTCCCTGATTCTTTATCAGTTTTATGCACCCATGGAAAAGGAGGCTATGTGTTTTATTATTATTACATTACTCTCCTTTGTCTAGTTGATTTGATTTTTATTTACAGTAAAGTGGTGATTGTAAAGGTTAAAGATTTCAATATGTCATTTTTTATATCAGTTTATTGATTTTTTTAAAAAAAAAAACAATACTTTTTACCTAAAAAATAAATTCTTTTATTAAAAAATCCATCATCAATGGTGAATTGCCACGTGAATTCACATGAAAATATAAAATTTATTAAATTATTTTATTTCATGCATGTTGCATATGTGGCATATTTTTATTGGTAAAATGTGTTGGTCGATATATTAGATAGACATAATTTAGATTAAAATTTTCAAACGGAGTTCATAAAATTTTTAATAAAAATGATACAATTAAAATTTGAATAAAAAAATCGAAATCAATATATTGATAGAATTTAACGAGAATATCAATAATATATTAAAAATGATTAAAAATATAATTTATTTCATTAATATCAACGGTAAAAATTTTATTAAAATTTTTTTCTAAAAAATATATCAAATTTATTATAATTATTTCAAATTTTACACATTTAATCTATGTATGAAGAACTTTTAATTTATTGATTTTTTATTTTTTATTTTTTATTTTGAATTTTATTTAATCATTTTTACTGAAAATTTTCATAAACTTCACTTTAAGAACTTTATTTAAGTATTTCCCATATTAGATTAACTATGTTAGCTTATGGACTAAATTGTTGCATTGCTTAAAAGTTCAGGTATTAATATATTCAATTTTCAAGGTTTGGATATTAAATGTCTAATTAACTTTAATATTAAATAAATGTAAATATACAAATATATACCAAAAAATATACTTAGGTTAATGGTAAGATTTTTTATGTTTAGATAAAAGTTAAGGGTTTAAATTTTATCATCTACAAAAAATTTTTAAATAATTAAATAATAAATTAGCATTTAAAATTGGTTCAGATGTTGAGGTGTGGTTAAATTTAATCCAATTAAACCGTTCTTAATTTTAAATCAAATAAAAAATTAATATTTGATGTGCTAGAAGAGTATAAATATTATATATTATCAATTAATCATAGAGTGACATTTTATTAATAAGTAAAATTAAAAATGGTTAGATCTTTAAAAATAAATATTAATAAATTTATTTAAATTTAATTAATTACAAAATGTACTTTATTTTTAAAAACTTAACTATTGTTATTTTTATTCATTAATGAAATATTATTTATGATTAATTGATCATGTATAGCACTTATATATTGCCAGTACATTAAATACTAACTCCCAAGTGAAATAGCCTCAGAGAGCTTCTAAATGCAACCCAATAATTACTCTATGCAGCCATAGTTTTTTTTTTCTTTTTTATGATAGGATTACCCTATTATAGAATTATTTAATTATTTTTTGTTGAAATTACCTTACTATCCCTCAAGAAGACCCATTTATTATTAGTTTATAGTGCAAAATGCATATTTAAAAAAATTTAAAGAGTTTTCAAATATATACCCGATTAATTTAAAACATTTTTAAATATGGAAAGTTTAAAAAAAAAAAATTGGATATGCATTGTCAAAATGTATTTAAAATTTTCAGATATACATTTTTTAAAATTTTAAAAATTTTCCATAAAGTATATATCCAGTGAATATAATTAGAGATGAGAAATTAGGGTGTCTAGCATGATGAAACACTACATTATAACCTTCGCTGGCATGGTTGCTTTGCTTGGGATGCCTAGTTCATTACATACCATCCTTTCACAACTGTTGTTTCATACCCTCCTTTCACAATTTTCTTATGTTTTAATGATATATAGATATCCGTAACTTCAAGTCATTTCATTTTTTAACTTCGATTAAATCTAAGTCATATCATTTTTTAATTTAGACTAAGTCCAAGTTATTTCATTTTTTATATTTAATTTTTTACTTCGACTAATACAAATCATATCATTTTTTAACTTTGAAAATCTAAGTCATATCATTTTTCAATTTTGACTAAGTTTTTAGTCATTTCATTTTCCTGCTTTGACTAAAATTAAGTCATTTTATTTTCCAATCTCTCCTAAGATTAAGTCATTTCTTTTTCTTATTACAATTAAATCCAAGTTACCATTTTTCAACTTTTGGCAATTCAAGTCATAATTTTTTTATCTTTTGGCTCAATTTAAGTTATCATTTTTAGACTTTTGCCTCAATCTAACTCATATTATTTTTTAACTTAAGTTCAATCCAAGCCATTTTATTTTTAGACTTAGGCTCAGTCAAAATCATTTCATTTGTTAATTTTGGTTCAGTCTAAGTGTCTCATTTTCAAATTTCAGCTAAGTCCAAATCATATCATATTATTTTTTTACTTTGATTAAATCTAAGTCATTCTTTTTTACTTCAGCTCTATCCAAGTCATTTTATTTTGAACTTTAGCTCGGTCTTAGTAATTTCAATTTTGAACCCTAACGTAATGGATATCTATGTCTTTATATAATTTTTATTACAAAAGAAAAAATATAAAGAGGGATAATTATAGATAACCCATTTACTCCAAGGTTTAAGCCGATTGGGCTTAGTCTAGCTTCAAGCCTAAATACTTAATCTTTATTGTTATTTTATTTTCTATTTTGTTATATATATTTATCTTTTATTTATTTATATTTATATTTTTATATTTATCTTTGTATTTATCTTTATTTTTATTTTATACTTTTATGACATATTATCTTCATTTTAGCTTTACTATTATATTTACACTTATTTATCTTCTTTTTTTTTTTGAATTCTTGTTATCTTCTTATTTATTTCTATTTGTCTTTTATATTTTATCTTTATCTTAAAAAAAGGAAAAACCAAAAAATAAAAAAATGAAGAAAAGGCTCAACATGAATTGGTTAGAATTTTACTGGAAAATATATTTGGGCGATAATTCATGAGATTTTTTAGGGGTTTGGATTAAATTGATCCATTTTAAAATAGATTAATTCAAAAATTTTTATAATAAAATTTTTTAATCTTTATTCTACTCGTTGTCAAATCAAAATAATCTCCCTATAAATTGCCAAGCATTCAATAAAATGGAAACAATAATCACAGAGAAAAATTTAAAAGCGAAAATGTCTTAGGCAGTTCAAGTTTAAAATTTTAGATTTTTAGTTTCTAATAATTTTGAAGATACCTCTAGATTTTGATGACAGTAATTCCCAGTTTCTCAAACGTTAACTTTATCTGACTCGACCCATAGTGTCGAAACTAAGATTCGTTACCTATTGAGCCACTGTTAAATCTTCTAGCTATAAGTCGAGTCTTAAGTTGCCAAGCTCGACCTATGTTCTGTAACTGTAGCCAAGCCACCAAGCTTGAGTCGAGCCGTTGATAATTTTTTTTAATAATTTTATTTATTTTATTTATTTATTGAAATTTTATTTATCCATATTGTTTAAATTGATTTTTATTAAAAATATTTTAAATAAATCTATGAATTCTATCAAACTATTTAAAGATTTCCTAGATTTCAAATTTGTTTTTCAAATTATGAACCATACCAAACTATTAAAAGATTTCATAATAAAATTAAATTAAAAATGTTTTCGAATCAATTCTACTAAATTATTAAAGGATTTAAATTTCAAATTAAATTTTATCAAACTATTGAAAGGTTTAATGACTTGTTTTAAAAATTAAAATTTTTAATCCTACCAAATTATTGAAAATTTTAAATTAAATATTACCAAACTATTAAATAATTTAATGATTTTTATTACAAAAATAAAATTTCTAATTCCACCAAACAATTAGAAGATTTAAATCTTAAAGTTAAATCTTACCAAACTATTAGAAGATTTAATAATTTCTCTTAAAACAAATTCATAAATAAATTTTTAACTAAAAATTCACCAAATTATTAAAAGACATGCATTGAAATAAAATCTTATCAAACTATTAAAAATTTTATTGATTTTAAAAATAATTTTTTGTGAAAAACACATTAATGAATCCAACGATGAAACTTATTTAAAGTGGTGCATTGTCTCTACAAATACTTGTGAGATGAGAAACTTCTCTTAATTTATTATTAAATTATTATGTAATTTTAATATCAATTTTTAATATTAAATTTATTTGATAAAATTATAAAAATGTTTTAAGACTAAGATAATACAAACTCAATTGGTAACATCCAGTATATAGACGTTATAAGCGTATTATAACATTTTTCATATGTAATCATATTTTCGAATCTAATTTTAATTTTATAAACTAAATTTTACCTTTTTAAGATATATCCGAGTTAAGTTTATGATTTCTTTTAAAAAAAAATAAATTATATTAGATTGTTAATCGTATTTAAATAAAAAAATTAATGACTTTTAAAATTATGTATAAACGATTAAGTTTTTGAATTTATACATTATGGTAAATGGAGAGAGAGTATAACAACATATTGAAATTTGGGCCATCTCAAGCGACGGGAAGGAGGTGATTTTTGAGGTTAAAGCTATTGACTTTGATGTTAGATTTATGACAAACCATTGAGTTTTGTACAAAACCAGCTAGAAAAGTTGAAATAAATGGGGAAAGCTTTTATTTGGGTGAATTTTGGAAGCCAATTAGGGTCAGTCGACGGCAGCCAACAAAAGCGAATGACGGTGCAGACGATGGTTGTCGGTCAAATTTGGGTATGGGTTTTGGAAGGAAGGCGACTATTCGCTTTTTGAGAGAACAAAATTTTTTAAAGGGAAATGATGAAATAAGTTGAGAAACAAGTTCGATTGTCTACAGTATGAAAAGAAAAAAAAAAAAGAAGAAGAAGAACCGAGTTGGGCTGACCCCACTGTTACTATGCTGATCCACGACCCAACCCAACCTCTTTACTGTCAAAT